GAGAGTTTCTTTGTTATTTCATACAATTGTGTTATGTTCCCTTCTCTTGCAGCCTTTTCCGCCGTCTTTGCTAGATCTTCCACATATCTACGTTTGTCGGTCCTGCTGCTCTTCTTCACTTGTTTGGTTACTTCTGTGTATTCAGCTTGTGCCTTGGCTTTTTCTGCTCTTGTTCGGCTGGTATTGATTGCTGCCTTCTTGTTCCTCCTTTCTTGAATCTTATCCAGTGTATCAACAGTGATCCATTCCTTGTGGCCCAGGACCTCATGAAACGTTGAAGTAATTGCCTCTTTGATCTCCTTTGAGTTGCTCTCCACAGTAGTTCCTTCTCCATTGAGTAGATCACGAAAGGCCTGGAACTTATTGCTGAGGGCTAACTTAAATTTGTTCAGTTTATTAGTATCCTGAAGAAAGGCCGTATTGAAATTTTGTGATATTGTCCGCCCCATTGTCCAGTGCTTCTTGAGTTTCAATTTCATTTTGGCGACCAGCAAGTAATGATCTGATGCTATATCAGCTCCTCTCTTGGTTCTCACGTCCTCTATAGTCCTCCTGAACGTTTTGTTGATGCAAATATGGTGGATTTGGTTTTGCGTGGTGTAATCCGGAGAAGTCCATGTGGCTTTGTGAATGCGCTTATGTGGGAATACGGTGCCGCCTATGACTAGTTTATTGGAGGCACATAGATTTGCAAATCTCTCACCATTTTCGTTCCTTTCTCCCAATCTGTGTCGTCCCATGATGTCTTCATATCCAGTGTTGTCCGTTCCAACCTTGGCGCTGAAATCTCCCATCAGAATTATCAGTTCTTTTGTTGGGCACTTCTCGACGATTGACTTCAGCTTATTGTAGAATTGATCTTTAGCATCTTCATTGTAGTCGTTGGTAGGCGCATAGCATTGGATGATGTTCATTGAAATGCCCTCTCTCTTTGTTTTGAATGAGGCTTTAATGATCCTTGGTCCATGAGATTCCCATCCTATAAGCGCATTTTGTGCTTGTTTGGACAGCATCAGTGCAACTCCCTGTGTACGTGGGGCATTTCCTTCTTCATGGCTGGAGTATTACAGAAGCTCTCCTGAAGTTAGTCGTCGTTGTCCAACGTGCGTCCAATGTGTTTCATTGATCCCAAGCACCTCTAGGTTGTAGCTCCTCGTTTCTGCAGCAATTTGGAGTGCTCTGCCGGTGCCCCACATTGTACGAACATTCCATGTACCTAAATAAATGGTCGCTCTGGTTGTCAGAAAGGGCATCGGCCTCGTGACTTCCGAAGGAATTCGGCTTTCATCATGAGGCGTCATAGTTCTTCTAAATGAAGACCTTCTGACTTCCAGGGCAGAGTTTAAAAGATTTGAATAATTTTTTCTAGTTAGCGTTTTTTTAGGGAGTTAGTTTTCTACGGGATGGGGACGGTAACCTTATGCCCAACCCTCCTCCATTATCTGGGCTTGGGACCGGCAGTAGCCCCCTGAGGTACTCCAGGAGGAGTTTACTTCACTGGTAGTAATATATAAAAAACGGTTGTATATAAGGATATGATGCAGGGAGAAGAAATTAGTTCGTAGAAAGTAAGCAATCTCAAGGTTTAAGCGAAGGCAGAGTTTATTCATCTACGCCATTGTGATCGGTTCTGAGCCAAGTCACACTGTCTCTAACCATCGATTACGATAGCCAAGCGAAACACAACCAAGTAGTCTGCATCTACCAACATGGCTCAGACCAGAAGTTAATGACTTCAAGCACTGATGCCACGTTTTGCTTTGGCCACCCCTAACTTTCTTACAACCGTCCTCAACACTAGTCAGCATTACGCGTCGTGGTAATCGATGTTCAGGCATACGTAAAACGTGGCCCGACCATCTCAGTCGATGAAAATTTACAACTTAATCAACTGATTTACTATCAATCTCTGATACGTTGCGTCTAAACTCACTATGACTTACCCGGTGATGCTAACAGATACGAGAGATATTTCTCAGGTATCTGTGATCAAATACTAGTAACTTACGAGTTTCTTCTACTCTTAATGGCCATATTTCGCAGCTGTAAAGTAGAACAGAATGAACTGCTGTGCAGTATACTAGTTCCTTAATTGATAGATAAGTATTTCACCTTCGACATAGGTGACGTAAATTGGCAAGAAAGATGTTAAGTGTGATAAAATTGTGTCACATTTCTTGAAATTGATCTGGAAAGAAGCATACAGCTTGTTAAAATCTATGGCATATCCAGAAAAACCTACCTCACTTCCTTATGCAATTCTTAAGGAACCATTATTAAATCATGTAATGTGCACTACATTTGAGCGTCGTGAAAGGGTGAAACTTTATAAGATGACTCATCAAAATGGCCAAAAGACTAGGGAATCCATCCTTGAATCGCAGAAACAAGCTGCTAAATGTAATATCGGTGATCAACTTCATGTGCAACTGAGAGATCAATTAATTTCAGGAAATAACATACTGGGTTTTGGAAGAGAGCTGTTAAGAATGCCGACCTGTTCCCTTAAAGATGCTAGAACTGCATGTATTAATTACGAGGCAGTGTATTAACTTGATATCCAGTCGATGAAAATTTCTAATAATTTGCTTAGTGGTCATGATGAAAGGTGTTTCAACAAGGAATTACAAAGGTCAAGTATGTAGTGAACAAGATCACGGGTGGGGACAATCGAATGTATTTAGCTCGAAAATTACAGACTATCTCAACAAAATCTGAATACCATAAAGTCAATCGTCAATTTGCAAATTATCAATGCATCATATCAAACTGTACTGTTCAAGTTGTAAACACTAATCCATTGTCTCCCATTCCATTGTTCATAGGTTTTCTTACAAATTCCATTATGTTCTCGCTCCACCTTTCTTGGTCTTCGCCATCTTTTGCTGCCGAGCATTACGTTCTTTTAACGCACGTTATATACTACTTATGTCAATATAAGTAGCTCACACCACAGTTTGGTAAATGTTTATCCTGTGGCAAATTTTATTTTCGTCATTCATGTGCATTTCGTAATGCTAAATGTTTTAAATGTGATCAGATAGGACACGTTCAGTCAGTATGCAAAGCCCTTCTGCCAGAAGTAGTACTAAGTCGTGTAATTTAGATCCCAATATTTCAGCTGTTCCTAATGATCACATATCTTTGTCTGCCATTTCGACAGGTAATGCTCATATTCAAAAGCGATTATATACATCGCTTTATTCATGTCATGACTTGATTGTGGACACAGGCAGTATACAGTCTGTTATTTTATTCAAGAACTTGGAATCTTTAGATCCTAACGTTTTGGTATGACCCACTGAAGTATCAATATTGAGAATTACTGAACACAGACTGCCCATACAAAGTAATTGTAAATTGTTAGTATGAGATGATAATTCTTCATACATACCATGTGAATTTTTAATTAGCGAAACAGGACTGTCAATACTGGGTTTAAAGAAATCAAAAAGGCCAATCCAGGACCTATAGGTCTCGTTCGCAAACGCTTAACCTATAGACCACTGAGCCGCCATCTAATGGATCCAATTTTTAACTTCGACTAATCCACGAAATTGAGTGACACATTCACCATTGTCATCAGTGAGTTACTATCTCACAACTGACGCGTTTGAAATCCATTGGTCACTGCTTCTCACTAGAAATCTTGGAAACACCTCTTGAAGCCAATCACCAGTGAGTATATGCTGATTACAAACAAATTTCTTCACACATCATCATCACTGGGTGACGACCGATGTCATGTGTGCCAAATCCTTCTTAGTGCAGATCGAAACCTATCGACCAAGTTTCATTGTGGCCAACAGTACTCTAAATGACTCGACATTGTATGCACTATTTCGAGTTAGGGTGGTAGTTGGACGTAGTCAACGGGAGACCCTGCACCTACACATTAGTCTTAATGAGTATATAAAAATTTTGACAGTATCTTTTAATCGGTGATTAGGTGGCAATGATATTTCATAGCTCTTTCAGCTGCAGATATCCAGAGCACATTACACGTGGTCAATCGTAATTTACACAGGTCGAGTGTTCTTGAATCTCAGTGATCGGCTTCCCTTCTTTATGGCCTCTTAAACTTCCCTGTCAGTTCCTCCTTTCATATAAAATCTAAAACTAAGTTCTCCACGTTCACTATCTTTCATATCTGAAATGGGTAAATAGTGTTAAGGCTCGCTTGCTCTTATTTAGAATCTAGGACTCAATGGCACTATCTAACCAAGTTTATTCTGTAACATCAGTGAAGCTTTTGGGAAGAACATTGAGTGTCACTTTTTATATCACCGTCATTATTAATGATGTTCATCCATGTTGTGGTTGAAGTAGCTAGTTAGCAACGAAATTTCCAGCTGGTTGCGCAATATCGCTAAATAATTAAACTTACCCATGAAGATCATGTAATCACGGCTCAGTTGTCTAAAGGTTCAGCTCTCTCGAAGAGACTGTGATGCTCAGTGATTCGATTCTTCCTGTAGTTGTAAATACAAATACTTAGACGTCTCATACTACAGTTAAACATCCGTCCAGTTCTACCTGGTTCTCATTAGCTATCAACACAATTTCATGGCATGATGCAAACTGTAAATGTTACTATGTGTAGAAATTCATTTTCCTATCAACCGAATATCAAATCGTAATTTGTAGACTTAATCTCCCAAACTCTTACTCCATTTGAACAGTGTCATTATTATAACACATTTCAACTAGTGACAAACCAACATCATTTCCTTTCACCATGTTCTTATTTAGTAAGCTTCACCTACTTTCCATAATCATCTCATTCAACGACCATATTTCATCAATTTAGTGGATAAACACAATTCGATAGAAATAGTCTTAGAATATCACCTTGTTATCATTAATCAAATTTATTTCAAGTGTATTGATATAAATACAAAAATAAAAGATAATCCATTCTATTGGTTGAAGACAAAGAATCACACATGAACTACATGATTGGAAGAACAACATCAAACTGATTGCTTATTGAATTGAATCTATTGGAAACATGATTCATTTAATTGAGTATATTGACGGTAAACTGACACGAATTTATCATATAGTTCCCACTCTACAAATAAAATTACAATTCAGTAGAGAATCACCATGATTATGTAATTATAGTCAGTGATAGCATGATAAGTGAATCTAATGCTTCATAATATTGTGCTTCAGTGTTTTAAAGTATACACATAGTTCATTTAGACAAGTAAATCATGAGTACCTAACAAATAGTCCTAATTGGAACTTATCAGGATGAAACCTCTATTGGCCATATAGTCAATGGGAAGATTCAAATAATCAATAAAAAAGTAATTTGAACTTTACACCATTTCATGAGCTAATTGCTAGCTTCACTTAGTAGATAAGTAGAAATCGCGATGACGTTTGAAGCGAAAAGTAGTGGGTTTGAATATAGAAGTGAACATCAAATCTGGGATATAGGTATATCATGTTGATGAGTCCGAAATTCGACGAAAATCGCCGCCTGGTATCCAGTGCTAGTCACTATTCATCTTTGCTTATAATGCTTGTGAATTAAGACAATATCGGGGTAATCCTCACATTATGCATATCTGTCAGTGGGCGACTGATCAATTTTAGTCGTAAACATGACTATTGGTAGAAGGTATGTTGGAAGTTTCAAACATTATAGTTCGTGTCTCCTGCTTAATTGTACATCATATGTAACTGGTACAAGATGAAGAGTTAAAAGTCGATATCTATCAATTATGATGTGAGTTTGTCATGAGAATTTAATTACATATTAACTTACGTTTAAGAATGACATCTGATTGATCAATGTACTCAGTTGGTGTATAATTCGCTATTATGTCGTCTGGTTTAGTAAGATGATTAATATGAATAAGTTTTGGTTGTTTAACAATTGTTGTATAATTACGCTTTTTCAATTCTGCATAAGTTAACCAACTTACAGGACATCGTTGTACATCACTTCCTTCACTTAATTGAATATTCCATTCACATGGAATCTCATATAAAATGTATTGGAATCGGAATAATATTAAGTTTAAAATGTCCTAAAAAGTGGATAAGGAAACGAATAAATAAGTGACGATGTTTGAAATAAGCTGGTGTTAATACACTTTTACATTCTATAAATCATGGACTGTAATGAACAAAATAAATATTGGTAAAAAGGGGCACCAAGTACATATGCACAGCACAAGTCAGTTGATCTATTTGTGGGATGGGGTACTATCCGGATGCCCAAACCGGAGCCTGTAGCTTTCTTAGAGGGCCATACCTCGAACGTTTGACCTAAAGGTCTGATCCATAAGACAGTGGAATAACTTCAAAAGATTAGGTCTCATGGTAGCCATTGACAAACACTGGGTTCATACACCATTTGTTCACTCAGGATCCTGCAGCCCATGTGCACCGCTGGTATGGAATCATGGTTTTCCAACTACCTTATGTGGATCCTTGTTATCCACCAACCCGGTTAAACCACCGGACATTCGCTTTTCATCCTCTCAGTTTCGTAAACAACATCCCTGGTGAGAGAAGGCAGTGAGTAGAACTTCCCTGTCAGTGGTGTTATGCACGTGAACAAGTTTGTGTATTTCCAGTGGGACAGCTGACTCTCACCACTCTCGGTCATACCAAGACATTCGGGTGCCAATGTAATGAATATGTTATGCCCTCTCGTTTTCATAATATGATGAAATCTCAATGATGTTCATTAAACAAGATTTATGGTACTTTTATTATTTCTATAACTAACTATTAATATGTCTATTTCTATCAATAAATTACAGTTGACTTGTTAGTATACACATGATATTCAGAGATGGTATAGAATACTTAATACTCTGATGGATGATTTTTATGGAGTTTCGTTTATCTGAACTAGATGATTGAGTCGTGGATATTCTCTTTCTTTGGTCTGACTCTTGATCATATATTTCTCAATGATTTTTCTGGTTGGTTAATAAACTGCATCAATGTTAACGTGTTTGTTGATTGCTAAGCTCCTACAAATTCATTGGCGTTCTCATTATTCCCTCCTACCAAGATTTTGACATTTTCCACTCGAATGTGTGTCCACAATTGTCCACATACATTTATATAAGTGATAACTTATAAGCCACGATACAGTATTTATTCTTGTGTATACTGTAAAGTATATAGGTCTACGACCAGTGTCCTGTAGATCCATTTAAATTATAGTTGTTGAGAGTGGAGGTCCAGTTCTTTCTTTTGCTAAGTTAAAAGCTCTTTGGCTAAAAAACCCAGTTAGTGTTTTAAATGTGTAATTCTTCAAGGCCCATCAATCCTGATGTAATTCCAAAGTGACGGCCATAAAGTGTGTTCAACATCATGAAATGAGGGGAGTCGAAACGATATCTGATTGTTTTATGAGCGTAAATATAGTATGTAAGCAATAAACCACTTCCCATCATTATAGAAAGACTCAAGCATTCAAATAGAATATCCGGCTGAGTGACGTTGTACACTTTCCATGACTAGTGTAATAATTTGACGATATTGATCTCCCTCCATTCATTTCTAATATATGGTTGAGCTCCGAAGTGACATCAGTACTCTGGTAATTCGCTTTGTGGATATAATTTTCTCCTCCTAATAAGCTAGTTGAGATTGTAACTATGTGCTACTGTTTAATAGTGAATGAATTTGTTTCTCAGTAGTCACACTGATGGAACTACGTAGTTCGTAGAGTATTATTCAATTTCTTCTTGTTTGCCGGATCAGTAATCATTAGAATGGTGTCATTAAGATTTTATGTACCTTAGAAACACGTGTTTGGTAGAAATGTACAAATTTGTATCTTCATATAGGTAGTTATAATGAATACGTAAGAAGTTTGAACTTACCTGTTCACCAGTGATTAAGTAACCTTGATGTTCAATAGCTCTTCTAGTTATGCTCAACCATAGATGATTCCAATTGGTTGATCGTAATTTAGACAGATGAAGTAATAGAACACCGTTATTATATCCGTAACCCTAAAATAAACATTATGCATATGATCCACCATACTTTGCACAGAAGAAGTAAAGTTGATTGCACAGAAGTTAATGATCTATGTATTCAGCTATGGCATTGGCCTAACGGCAATCAGTATAAAAGCTATTTAGAACGTTTGATTATGTATGATAACAGTCATTTAATAATCTAAACTAGAAAGTGACTAGGCATCTCACTGAGATAATCATAATTCCTCAAGATTCTGCATATACCTTCCAGTTTACAAGTACTGAATTACACAAAACTCGTTTCCAAGATGTTCTTGTCAATCAAAGTTTATTAGACTGGTAAGTACATTTCGACTTGATGGACACAATTCAAACGTCACTACAAAACAAACAATGTTTTCACAAGTTCTGAAACAAATCATCTACATCCATGACTGCAATCTGATATAAATAAGGGAGAAATAATTAGCATTGAATTACTATTTTCTGATGAAAATCAGTTTGTGCGAGAATATAATTTATCGGCGAACCAATGAAATTGAGGATAGCATGTCTTGGATTGTCGCACGAAATCACTTCATCCATACAGTTAAATAGCATTTAGGCATTATAGCTGATTGCAGTTCGTGATGAAGATGCTCATTTTCATTCTTAAGCTTAAATGCTAACTCGACATCCGAATCGTAACTCCTCACACTAATTTATAATCTCATTTTGACATTTTGAAGTAGGTGAGCTGACTCCACCTGCAGCTCTTCTAGAGTTAGTGCTGGTCCCAAGCCTGGGTAAAAATGGAGGGTCGGGGATGAAGTCGGTAACCCCAACCCGTAGAAAAATTCTCGCTAAAAGAACGCAAACTGGATTAAACATGTAGGTGAGCTGAGTCTAGGTCAATTCACAGTCACTCACAGTTCGTCCATAAATTATAGTCTCAGTGCAATTGTTCTTAGAAAGGACAATGATGTACAAAGTGTAAGTCGTTGCAAATGTAATGATGTATGAAAATGTTTAAACTTACTTTCCAATCGCTTTCTAACCTGGTCATAACTTCTTGAAAATATGGATTTTGTTCTAATCCAATACCTATGCTCTTTGAAAAACAAAAAGACATCAAGATTTGAAAGTCATCAGAAGTATAAATTTGAAACGATCATCAGAAAATATCCTTCAGTAAACTTGATACACACAAAACACTGTCTAGCTGAAGTTGAAAGCTTAGTCTCAATTTGAAGTCAGCTGTGAAATTAATGAAGAATGTATAACACTGACCAGTATTACGTTAGGAATACTCACCAATGACTAAATGTCAAAATCAAACATGCATTTCAGATATTTATTTCAGACGGCTGAGCTGGAACCAAATTGTCAATGATATTTCTGGCTTTATTAGCTGATTCATTGCCTGACACATTCAGCATTCAACCTAATAGGTAATAGGTATCCCAACTTCAACATATTGAATTAGTTACATCATTTAACACCCGTTCATGACTTCTTCACTTCATTATGATGAATAATTGTGCGAGAACATGGGCCCGTTCATTTTATTACAATCATATCAGTCTATGACTAATACTAGTCCTTCAAAAATCTTTCTTATCATGATCATGATAAACTGGTGGCCTGTTTCAACATCTGGACTACCTGTTCCTGCCATCAACATATTTCAACAAGTCATCTAATTCTGTTGTTTTTTGTACATCATTATGTCTATCAATCACATAACACTTTCAGGTGTGTTTCTGAAGAGTTTACAACCCAACGTTGTACAGGTAATGAATGGCCTGATCAGTAATATCATGGTTGCTGACAATATGCAGCGACAAGAATGTACATTATTTAGATGTTGATTGACTAAACTGCTAACTTTTAACTGTCGATCACTCAATATTCATCTTCCGGATCAGCGAAGAAGTAAGAAACGGAAACTTGTTGAAATACAGTGTGCTGACAATTTTTTATTTCACCACAAATATACTATTGAATAAAGCCGATAATAATAATGGTAATAATAATAATAATAATAATAATAATAATAATAATAATAATAATGATAAACAAATTAATAATATTATTAATAACTTCTAGATCACTGATCTGTCATCCAACCAATTCCATATTTCCATGTTCTCACTTCTCATTTCCTAATTGTCTATTACACACTAACTTCCACATAACTATTTGTTGTCACATATCTTAACGTATGTCGTTACAAGAATATTTATCGGTTTGAAGAAACATTCTTCGCTGAATATACAAGAATCCGAAAAATATCTCAATTGTTTTGTTAGCCTTCGCAAATAAGGGGCTTTCGTGTACTACTCTTCCTTCTCTTCACTTAACAATTCACTACGTAAAGCTCATTCATGATGCAACTACGTGTCTCTGTTAGTCAAATATAAAAACTGATATCATAGATGACTGTCTCATTTAAATGTTTCATTGAAGACAATCTGAGTATTCACAATCCATACTGTTGGATCTTCGAATAATTCATAATGAAATCATTCCATGCATATTCATTCAATTGAGATAATAATAATAATAGTGTTTGGTTTGTCATGACTTCATAGTCCAATGGTATCCATGTGTCCAACACTCAGTCATCTATTTCTCTATAATTATCAAGTATGTTACATAAAATATAGATTCGATTCAGCTGAAACTCTACACTTTGATATCATGATATGGTGGGCGATCAATTACAAATTGTTATGTGAGAAGGGGTTTTGTGGAGATTTCAGAAATTTTACTGATTGAAATCATGAGTCAATTGAAGCTAGATCAACATGGAAAACCTGGAAGCACTCATGATTTCAATCAATGAAATTCTCACAAAATCTCCAAAAAATCCCTTCTGGTGATAATCATTTGATCACTAGTGGTGACTGACTTCAAGAAATACTCCCGGAGTTTTAGTGAGAAGCCGTTACCAGTGGAGTTCAACCGGGTTAGTCAGATGGATGCGCACTGCTGAGGAGTCCCGCGATGGGACGAGACGGCCGTCCAGTGCTTCGAGGTCGTGCATGGTGGTCTAGATTCAATTGACTCATGATTTCAATCAGTGGAATTGTTTTAGGTTTGTTCTACATCGAATATCAACATTTACTCAATCATAACATGAACAATTATTAGAAACAAACCTGAGTTTCATTAAAATAATCAAAATGATTCCATAATTCAATAATATCTGTATTAAGTAGTATATCAATATCCAGTACAATGACCTGTAAAGGCAAAGGTACAGAAGTATAGAAACAAATTACTCATTCATGATATACTCCCATAACATATCATCGTTTTAATCTAGTCAATAATAAGTACTGGTTTGTGCCCCCAAATGCCCTGGTACGGCCGAGAGTGGGGAGAGTCCGCTCTCCCTCTCGAAATACTCTCACACGGCCACGTGTATATAGCCTCTGCCAGGGAAGTCCTACTCACTGCCTTCTCGTGGCGGGGGTGTTGTTTACGAAAATGAGAGGACGAAAAGCGAATGTCCAGCGCTTTAACCGGATTTCAAACCAATGGTGCACATGGGCTCCAGTATCCTGCGGGAACAAATGGCGAATGAACCAATTGTTGGTCACCGGCTTCCATGGGACTGCATCTCCTTACGATGCTCCACTGCCTTGTGGATCAGACCTTTGGGTCGAAGGCTGGGGGTGTGGCCCCCTAAGAAAACCACCTGCTTCGGTTTGGGCACCCGGGCAGTATCACAGCCCTCACACATATCGGATGAGATTTGTGTGGCGCATATGTATTTGGTGCCTCTTTGTACCATTATCTATGTGTTGAAATAAATAAATAAATAACTGGTTTGTGTAGTCATCTTTCAGTTATCATTTGACTATATGAAGTTGAAATGAATGAAGCCTGATGTAACCATGCTTGATTGAACGTTTAATTCTAGATATCGACTTCCCTGAAGACCTCCACCCTTAAACCTTCGATATTTGAGGGTAGTTATAAAACTAAGTAAAGCTGTCAATTTAAATGCGTTATGTTACGATTGCGTCGTGAATCAACACGATTAACCATGACGCGAGGTTAACTTAAGCTAAACTCTCATTCATCTATCAATTTCCAACGTCGAGTCAGCAAATATCAGACTGTAGCTACGTTCCTAGCTCAACAATCCAGCAGTTATCTCAAATATTCATTTGCCTATTGGATATTCATGGATCTCAAATAAGAAATCGTACTTTGTATACTATCATGTTATAAGTAGCATACAATTAGTATGTGAATGATTAGCAAGAATGAAGGATGACAGTAAAATGCAAAACGATACAAATACTTTAATACAATTAACAGTTGAGTATATAATGAACATAAGAATAATAATCAGTAAAATAGTCCTATGTGTAACACATAGGACTGTAGTAGTCACTTCACTACAACACTTCAGGAAAATATACCAAAATTGATAACCATCTCTCATAGTGTCCAATGAAGAATAGGAGTGCATAATTAGTCGTTTTCTAGAATTATCTGGGAAGTTTCCATAAATTACTAACTAGTCAAAGCAACCTACATGGCATCTGGAGATACTTTAAAGAGTGTTTGTACCACTTCAGACAAGTGCACTATGCATCGTGACATACTAACTGATTGAGTGTTATATAATTTAACATGCAAAATGCAATATCATCCATCAGTAGTAAACTTCTTTGGATAACTCTCATAAAGGAATAACTCGGTGTAAAGTTGTGTTCATTATTGATGCTGGTACATCCAGTTGACAAATGCCAAATCTCGCGAACTGCATTCCACTGCCAGTCACCATCCATCTTTACTTATTATTGATCTTCGTTAGAATCTTAATTTATTTTCACAATATTAATTCAATCTTATTTCACTGCATTATTGTTATTCCATTTTCTATTGATTTGTTTATTTTGGCATATGGTATGAAGGTCTTTGTTTTTCTCTCAGTAATTCTGTGTATTTTACTGTGGAAGGTGATATCAGCACAAATATGTAGCAATCAATATTCAAATGAGTGTAATAATCGTTGCATTCTACGTGTTTATGAAGGGTTAAAGTTAATCTGCTTGAATTATTCTCTTTTCGATCATATTTGAGTTATAATACAGACTTCAGCTTGATGTAACAATGGTGAGAATAATATGATTAGGAGATTCATTTGTTCCTGTGGAGATATCTGTGTAGGCTGTAATATTATGTAACTTAACGAACGAATTAGTGAGCAACTCCTAGTTGGGTTTAGAAAGAGCCAGACGAGGATGATACATAGCTTTATCTTTGTGTACCCAGTTGTCAATGTGCATTTGGCCGTGTTCCGTTGTATACTTACTTGACTTTTGAGGGGGGTTCGATCCCATCTCTTACATAACGTAGAAGCTATAGGGATCTGAAATATCACATGATATTGATAATTTTCTCATATCCATTTATCCAACTTTGATCTAGTTTGATGTTGACTTTGAGATACCCTTTCTATCGACGCGAGTTTCGAAAATTATCGGAGGTTTTCATTTTATAGCACTTTCAACAACAAATATCTTTAATATTTCATAAGAATAATCAAACGGAAGAAGTCTGTACTTGTAGTTGCATTGCACATAGTATTAGTCAATCGTTATTACTTTCCCATTTAGATGAATGATTGAATTAGCATGTACTTCACATTATGGATTGATCTCAATTAGAGAACACTGACAACCAGGGAACATGACATAAACGTACTACTTTTCGATTCTCGTTAGTTAAACCCACTTATTCACATTCATTCAGTATTGTAAAGTATTCTTCTTAAGATCACTTCCACCGTATTGTTCTGTTATTATTTCCATTATATAATTTAGTATTATGCTTTTTCTGATTACATTATCATCTGTGTTCACGTTTCGTACTTCCTCATAAAATGTAGTCCTTCAAATTGACTATATGCTTACTAGGGTGGAAATAGAATAAGATTCACTTACTGAACACTGACGTAAAGTTGTTTTCTTCATACGACAGTGGGTATCAAACACTTAAATATTGTAGTCTATTTATACAGAAAACGTTGATGATAATATGTTGTGAAACTTACTGAGAAAAGATGCAGAACTGTGGCTTACTTTATTGATTGTAGATGGAAGAATTGTTGCAATCATCAATTTTAAAAATGGTTTGGCGCCTGAATTATGTTCAGATTGAATCCACTGAAAATCTGCCTACAAATAATCACACAGATTCAAGTCAGTAAACATAGTACATTGAAATCACAAGCCGATCTAAGATAGAGAACCATTGTAAACTTGAAAGCACTGGACGGTTGTCTCATCCAATTATGGGATTTCAGCAGTGTGCATCACAACACCGTATACGTAATCCGACGCGAGAACTTGGATCTCGCGAGAGAACGCTCGACGTCTAAACTACTATGTGGACGTCCAAATATATACATGCTAACTTCAGTCAAACTAGAATACTGTGAAATCATCATCTATTGTCTTCGGTAGGTGCATTTCTCATACCTGACACGACTGAACTCCACTGTCGTCTCACTAGCGACACAATATTCGCCACAACCTCAAAGCAACAATTCTCATAAACTTGTCAGCGAGAAGCAACGACAGGAAACTTCTCGAGTTCTAGTGAGAAACCGTGACCAGTTGAGTATGACCGAGTCAGGTATGAGGCAGTTACTAAAACTCCACAAAACTCTCATTACATTATAGGAACAATGACGTAACACAGTTAGTTATAATGCATGTGAACACTTACCAAATAATCACTACAACTGTAAAAATGATATTCCATATTACGTATTTTCCATGTATTCATCAAATTCAACAACTGACTATTCAATGAAATCGTCGTTATTAAGAAATGAAATACAGTTGTATATGTTGTTGACACATTGTTCATAACAGGTTGACAATCATTCATAAATGGGTCACAAAAGTTTGATAGACAACAAGCCTTTGAATCACATCGAAATCTTCCATTTTGATAATAGAAAATAGATTTAAGTAGGCTATTCAAGTATTGTAGACCTCGATCACCATCAAATAAGATCACAATGTGAATTTTCTTTTCCTATAACGAAACAAACAATTACACTGATGAAGCTATTTAAGTAGTTCGTCAAAACATTTTGTAAGAATAATTACAGTGATTCCATACCAACCACACACCACACACTCCGCTCAATACTCAAATTGAAACGACCAATCAAAATCAAATTTTTCATGACACATTGAAGGGATAATCAGAGAATGTCATGAAATGCTGAAGATTATATTCACTTGTTGTTGGTTTAATTGTATCTACACATTGTAATATAGAACTGGATTTGATCAGTATCTTGTTGAAGGCACCATTTACTTGACAAGTGTGAAATAGTATAAAATGCGCGTCTTCGTTTCAACTGCTAGCCACTATCCACTATCCTTGCTTAAAAAGCTTGTTGAAGATTATGTTTAGAGAATATACATTTAGTAAAACAAATGTTCTGTTTTGTGAACAAAGTAATAAGCTGAGTGTGGTGAAGAATGTAGCTTTCTATAAATCTGTTCAATATTACATGATAAGCCATAACTGTATTAACACAGCTGAAAGGTATTTTATTCGCATGAATACTGATGTACCCGAGAGTTAGTAAATGAAAGAGGATTTTGACTCCAGTTTACGTATCAGTCTACACATCAGTGGTGTTACTGTTCGCCTCCAATATCCTTATAAATTAGACAAACATGTTTTGCCTATATTAGTTTTAGGTAACTAAGATTTACAATTTAAGAACATCGAATTATTTTCGATTAGTTTGTTAAATGACAGGTTATTAGATTCCATCATCTAGCAAATAACGAGCTGATATCACACTAATCGGATAACTGGAACACTCATTTCTGGGTGAAGTAGGCACTGGAGTTGTCATCTAGAACAACAACACTGGAAGCTTCTTAATTAGGCTGTCGAACGTAGAAAACGCAACTCCTTTACCTTCACCTTTAATAACTCTGTTCCTTGACTCAATACTCAATACTATAAACTGTCACATGTAAAACAAACTGTATATACGGCTTGACAGCTTAGATTAATAACATTGGAGAGGCACATATCTTTACACTGAAAATCATATGATTCATATAAAAAATTTTGAAAAGATTCCATAGGACATTCCATAGAATAAAATGTACCAAACCAGTGTCACGGTTAAGTAAATACAATTAATGAAATATTCCACAAACACAATTCATAGTCACGTTCTTCTGAATCTTCCTAAATAAAGCTCAAATATGCATTAATAAGTAGTGTTAGGACTAATTACATAGAATATACTCCATGTGATTAACATAATAATGAATAATGATAAAAATAAATTGAGAATTTTTATTTTGTTTAAAACAATCTGAAAACATAATTTGAGGAAAGAAAAATTGAAATGTGTTACGTAACAAGTACAGATATGGTTGTCAATTGTATATTTGGATCCATTCATTATGTCTAAATATATATATATACCAACATATGTTAACCTATGGTATTTTAAGTGATATATATATATATATAAATTAGGATTTGTGTGATTGGTTGGAAATCACAGAGAAAGATGACTGCACATTTGTAACACTTGAAAAGTACTTCTCATTCTCATTTCATACTGGTCAATAATCCAAAGTACATATCAGTTAATCAATCAACCAATTTGTCAGTTACAAAGTAGAACCAGTTACGCATATAACAAATTATAAGTAACAGTTTTGATGATATGGATTTAAAAGTCAGTGAATTATGTACGTAACGATGAACACTATAAATTACTACAATCAACAATTTCCATCATGTTTATGATAAGAATTATTAAGTCGCCTAATCATTTTCATCATCATCTCATCATTATCCGACTATTTTTTGTGTGTTATAGACTATATTACTTACTATATACGAATATTCGTCAATATTAGAACGAATAGTTTGACAAAAATTCGGCGCCATCTATAGACAAGTCATTACATAGGGAAATTATATTTGAAATAATCTCAGTGATTGAAATTTGCAATCATTCCAACGTGTCGTCCGGCAAACTTGTCTGCACTTCTTCAGGAAAATAATCAAACTCATCAGAGAAACATATAGTGTATAGTAATCGTATATCAAATCAAATCTACTCTGTGCTAATTCAATGATATTTGGATATTGACCTTACTTACTTACTTACTTATCTACTTAAGGCTGTTACCCCTAATGGAGCATAGGCCGCCTCAAACACACACTGTGCTGGGCACTCCTTTCTTCTTCTTCTCCTTCTATCCATTCGCTCTTCATTCTTCTCATGAATGTCGTTTCTATTTCTCGGCGTAATGTCTTCATTGGTCATCCTCTTCTCCTTTATACTTGAGGATTACAAGTGAGAGCTTGCCTTATGATGCAGTTGGGTTGGGTGATTTCCTCAATCTGTGTCTTATTCACTCCCAGTGCTTCTTTCTAATTTCTTCCTCCTCCACCTCTTCCTACTCCTCGTCCGCTGCCATTTCGTTTGTTCTCTCCCACAGTAGGTTGTTTCTGATAGAATATTGACCTTAGTAAATAGAATAACATGAGTCAGTCAATAAATGTGGATTTTGTGAAAAGGTCACAAAGTGAAAATAATGACTGAACAAATTGTGTGACTATGTGGTGTGTGTGTGTGTGTGTGTAAGATTGAATTATGAATGATTGAAGGGTTTAGGTGTAAAATTTGTTGTTCTATCAAAAAAAGAATAAACAAAATAAAATAAAAGTGAAAGTTGAAGGTTGAAATGTGTATTCCATTTGATTATGAACATAGAATGGACTTATCATGATAAATATGGACTGATGACAATAGTGCCTAATGATGAATTTCTTGAATATAATTGTTCACTTGAATATTCTTCTTCATATTTTAAATATTAGAATGAATACAATACAATAGTGAATTAGTTTATTTGTGTATTAGAGCAATAATTTGGAATCTGGTCAATATGACAATCATAAATTTCAATAGTAACGAACAGTCAATTCTATTTTCATAATCCATCGATTGTACTTTACAGAACAGTGTGACCCCAAACGTATCATGCATGAACTTGTATACTGTTGAAGCTGATTCTCATAAAGAAGAAACAAAAATAGAGTGACTTTGAATGATTGAGTTGTATGAATTCTACTTCCATTTTGTTCAATGTTTCTACTTTATGATTAGTCGTGTTCATTACTGTTTTACAATAAAGTTTGTCTGTTCTTAGAATAACGTTGTCTTAAATGTATAATGAATACGAAGTGATGAAGTATGGATTGTATGGGAGAGGGTTATAAGAGTTTGTTGAAATCTGTAACTGGATATAGACGTATTTGACTCCACTGATAAAATTTATATCTTAATTCTCTTCTTATACATCCTGATAGTATTCCATTGACCAAGTGGCAATGTGGACTCTAAAAATCTAGTGACTTGACATTGCGTACACTATGTTCACATGTAAGGTGATAGTTGGAGATCGTTGAATGGATACTAGAGTTCAATAATTCGTGCTATTTGGCACTGATCAGAAGAGTATAATTGTAAACAATATCGAGTATATTAAGTCTTTGAATCGATACGATCAAGTTAATAGGAAGTTACTAGTTAGGTGTTTGGAACCCTAGAACTGTTACATTGTAACTACAAATTAGGGTTGATGGACTTCCAGGATGGGAGTCGTGAAATATGATACTTGTCAAGCTGAGAGATTATCATTGCCTGAATGAAAAATTTAAACGCTCGCTATGGTTTCAGTAGGTGAACTCGATGTAAATAGCTAGAACATCAGTTATAACTGAAAATAGTACAACTCTCAACCACTGTTTTTTGCCAAATATCGTTATGAGTGAGTCACTGCTAAGTTTAACATAATAGCATCAAGCATACTTTCATTATGAAGATGGTATATTTCATTGGGTAGATTGCTGCATCTGCGTATGAATGAAATCGGTTAACCAGCAAACCAATTTAGCGCATGAACACTCGACAAAACTTGCCAAATCATTCACAATATCAATGGCGAACCTCCAGTCTCCTATGAGAACTTCACCTCTACATAGCAATGTGGAGTATCCTTGCACTTGCCGCTACGTCTGCTTTCAGTGCCTCAGCCAGAATATTGTCTGGTCCTGCTGCTTTGCCGCTCTTGATTCGCCTGATGGCCATGCTGATTGGGAGGTCGGTTGTATACGCGTGACCGTGTGAGAGCATTTGGAGTAGGATAGAGGACTCTCCATACACTCGGTAATACCAGGGCATTCGTGGACATAAATATTCATTTTATGAGATGGTGGAGACTTGTATCTCAGGTGGATGGTTTTGACAGAGTTTTGCTCTCTGACTTCATGTAGTTTGTGCTGATGATGATGTCGCTCAGAAGAATGATGAAAGCTTCACGACCAAACCATCCACCTCAGGGAACAAAACTTCATTAAAACATTTATTTTTTGAATATCTTACATTAGATTGATATGCAGAAATAAATCACCATAATACGATGAAAAAGTCATTAGGGATTATGAATAATCAAATTTACTGGCACAATTTAAAAAAGAATACAATATTCAATCAAACTTATCAATAATCGAAATTCTCTATCATATAAGTGTACTACTGTATGCCCATTACTCTCAATATTACATATCATAAATGATGGACAATTTGTTCTATTAAGAGTACACATGACTTGAGTAAAAGTCAGTATTGTGTTGAAATGACAGATTATTGCTGATAGATTCAGTCGTTTGGTTGGTTGGTTGGTTGGTCAACTAAACGATATTGTTCACATATACTACATAAAATTCGGAATGATTTATCAGATTATTATTTGATTGGCTAAAACCATATACACTCAACTACACCCGTAGTCTATAAATATACAGAATTGTGAGTTCTAATATTCAATTTCACACTGTGAACATGAATTTTATTCAAACAGGAAAATCTCTTATAATCAAATCTCTTATCATCTGTACCTTGATAAGTTTTATTCACTTTCAGATGGTAGAATTAGCTCGAATTAAACCAAAAAGTGAGTTGACTTATCTGAATGTTTTTTATTCATATTGAATCTTCATTCCCTTATTCCAAATCAATTCAATATTTCTTTCTTGTTTCATTTCAGATACATTTGTAAGGTTTGGATAATTGTAATATCTTGTCTTCATACCGGTTATCTCATCACATGGAACATGAAACTATTCTATTTTGAAATGGTTATATAGTTACTGTGATATGATAAATAAACATTCATTCATATAGATGTTGCCATTTTCTTATTTCACTTTCTCATTCTCTTCTCACATTTATGTTGCGAGGTGAAATCAAGTTGTATTAATTTCCGTTAAAAAGCAGAATTTTAAAACAATTAGTCCCTTTGGATGAATTTCGATAATGTAATGAGAAGACGAAGATTATCAGAACTATGTGATGATGTATATTAGCGCAGGATAAACATCCATTATCCTCTACTGCTTAACATATAATTGAAACAGGTGATAAGATTGATGTAAACTCAGCTTTTGTGGTGTTGTATAAAAGTGTAGAAGGGTGCATACTAAGGTTTATTGAAGCCTTAGACCTACGTAAATTCAAACCCCCTACTGTGTGTTCAAAAACAGTTTATTCTTATCTTAAATCTACCTTGGTAATATTGACTTATTATCCAGAATGATTAGGTTTCAAATTGTATTCACATTATTATTATTATTACTCTTATCATTATCCTTATCTCCTCTTACCCCGTTTCCAGTCTACTTGACCATTTATTTCTATATATAAATGCTCTTCACAAGTATGCAATGTGTGATCAGATTGTTCGAATTGTATTGCACTAACATATCATCACCTAGTTCTGATAATCTTCGTCTTCTTATTACATTATGGAAAAAGCAGAATATTTTCGGGCAAATATCTTTCTACTTAATTGATAATAAGTAGGTAGATGATAATTCAGAAATATTTATCCTGAGTAATGGGGTGAAAGTTTCTCAGTTTGTTCATAGTCATTCAACTGAACCTGTTCCTATTGTGATAAGTTATGCTTTTATAAGAAATATCGTTTCAGTGAAGAGTTCTCCTTGCGGTCAATTCATTTTCAATGGTTCACAATCATAAATATTCTTATTTATCTTTCAGGGAAACTAATAATAGATTTATTATGAAGGACTTGAATATTTATCATGAAGATAAATAGGGCAATTATAATTGAGTACGGATGGTTCATCATGAAAGGTAAGTTGTACTGTCAGATGTTTTGCTGGTTTGAATAGTCTAGACATTAGTAGACATTAACTGATCTACAAAATATTGTGATATATTAACAAGATGAGTGAGCAACACACAGTTGATGGGTAAAAGACAGTGTTAGTTAGCAAAGTCTTTTCTCAAAATCTGGGGAAATAATAATGGAGAACAGTAAAGAATGATAGGTAATATGCAAAAATTGACAAATTGTAAGAGTAAATGACGAGTAATCTCAAGAGCATGCAATCTCTTCATGTAGTAATTCAGACGGAAAACATTCTTCGACAACAATATTCGGATTAAGTATGAGACCATTTCCAAAAGATCAATAATCAGTACGAGACAAAAACTCCTTCATTTCTATGAGATGTAAAGAGGAAGAGATAGGCATACATACAGTGAGATTATCCGCATATTTCACAAAAGTGTTTTCTGGAAGGAGCTGGAAAGGATTGCCTAGGACGGGGTTGGATGGAGAATGCTAGTGAGCGGCCTGTGCTCCCTCACGAGGAGTAACAACCGTAAGTAAAGTAACTAAGTAAGATATCAGCTATTGCCTCCCACGTTCACAGTCACTTCTTGATTTTATTGTGTACAAATGTTATTTCCTATTTTATGGTACGTTATTGTCTGTCTGGTCGATATATAAACCGAGTGTGTTTGAAATAAATGGTTCATATTGCCGAAGCTGTTATTGATGTTCTAAACTCAAGTGAACGGGCTAGCAGGAAATAGGACCAATAAGGACATTAGGCTGCTCATACCAGTCGAACGTTATTGGTTTGGCACAGTGCTAACATTGTATAAATCGTATTTTGATCAGTGGATAAATCACGTGATAAAAAGCTGGACATAAAACCATAACAAGAAAACCGAGTAATTAGTGTGGAAACGAAGAAACAATCAAGTCTGAGACAATTGATTGACATTTTACAAATGAAGTATTTACTGTATGGCTTCCTTAGATTTCACAAACAGAGTCTGTGTCATTTTGTATTGATATGCATTTGATTATCGCCCATTTTGTGTTCTCGGTTCATTACAATACTATTATCAAAACTCATTATTGTTAAAATGAAAGTAAATAATAATAATAGAAATATGGATCTCGCGGTGGAAAGGATCGTGGATGCGCACTGCTGAGGGTTCCCATACTAGGAAGGGACGACCGTCCAGTGCTTCCAGGTTTTCCATGGTGGTCTAGCTTCAAATGACTCATGGATTCAACCAGTGAAATATGTATTTGACTATTCTCCTGTTACATGAACATCAGAAATAATAATTTTTCAACCTTCAACTTTCACTTTTATTTTATTTTGTTTAGTATTTTTTGATGGAACCACAAATTTTACACCGAAACCATTCAATGATTCAAAACTCAATCTTACACACACACACACACACACACATAGTCACATAATTTGTTCAGTCATTTTTTCATATTGTGACGTTTTCAGAAAATTCACATTTACCTTGGTCAATATTCTATCAGAAACAACTTACTGTGGAAGAGAACAAACGAAATTTCAACGGAGGAGGAGGAAATCAGGAAGAAGCACAGGAAGTGGATAGGACACAGATTGAGGAAAGCACTGAACCCAACTGCATGATAAGGCAAGCCCTCACTTGGAATCCTTAAGTGCAAAGTAGAAGAGGAAGATCAAAGAACACATTATGCTGAGAAATAGAAAAGACATTCATGAGAAGCTTTGGAAGATTCAGAAACCTTTAAATGTGTTCTCCAGCATCATTGATGAACACGGTGAATCTGAAGCGGATGTGAATTCGCTGATCGGCAAAGCAAGACCAGCATTTCTAAAATTGACAAACATCTGGAACTCAAAACAATTGTCAAGCAACACCTAGGTCAGAAGTCTCAATACAAATGTCAAGACAGTTCTATTGTATGTGGCAGAAACTTGAAGAATTAGGAAGCCATCATGCAGAAGAAACAAATGTTTATCGACAATTGACTATGTAAAATATTTCGGATCTGTTGGCCAGCAACAACCTACAATGGGAGAGAATAAACCATATTCAAGCGGAGTAAAGGATATATAAGAAGAGAATTAAGATTTATATTTTATCAGTGGAATCGAACAAATCTATATCCAGTAACAGCGTTCAACAAACTCTTATAACCACCTTTCCCAGACAATCCATACTTCATCAGTTCCTATTCACTTTACATTTAAGACAACGTTGTTTTAAGAACAGATAACAGATCTAGCTGAAGGCGTTCGGTCATGCATCCGCACCAGATCACGTGTGGTAACGCTGTGCTCAACATCTACCGCAATCAACAGCCAGATTAGATCAGATATTTTCAGATATATTGGTTATCGCCAAATGCACTCTTCTGATCTCCTCGACTCTGTCTTTTGATTTCTCTCGGTGGGAACAAAGTATATTAGAAGGTATTACTGGTAGAAGAGTTGTCAAACATTGAATACCTGTATCATCCTCAACGCTATACATTTCAATGAACATGTGTCTAGATGACTTCAAAATAAATGTATGTCAAATGATCCGATCAATGTAGGAGGTAGAAAACCAAGCTCATCGATAGCAAAACATAGTTGAGACGAGGCACAAAATTCACATTCATACAACATTTAGAATGTTGTATAGAAATTGTCAAGTACGAATTCTTAAGTTTATTGAAGCCTTGGCTATTCGCAAATTTAAACCCCCCTTATGTGTACAAAAACAATTTGTCGTAACCTTGAATTTACCTTGGTAATCCTTAAGTCATTTTATGGCCTAGGATAACACGACAATTTCTTATTCTTTCTCCCCCTCTCTTTGTTATTTTAATTGTACTTTTATTTGTTTGACCTTTATTAATTTTCATATAAAAATGCCCTGACAAGTATATGTGTGTGACCAGATTGTTCGAAATGTATAGCGCTAATACATCACATTTTCATCAGATCATCTCCGTCTTCTCATTGTTCTATCGAGATTATGAAAATAGAATTGACAGTTAGTAATTTGAACTTTACACCATTTCATGAGCTAATTGCTAGCTTCACTCAGTAGATAAGTAGAAATCGCGATGACGGTTGAAGCGAAAGGTAGTGGGTTTGAATATAGAAGTGAACATCAAATCTGGGATATAGGTATATCACGCTGATGATTCCGAAATTCGACGAAAATTGCATCCTGGATTCCAGTGCTAGTCACTATCCATCTTTGCTTAGAATGCTTGTGAATTAAGACAATATCGGGGTAATCCTCACAGGATGCATATCTGTCAGTGGGCGACTGATCAATTTTAGTCGTAAACATGACTATTGGTAGAAGGTATGTTGGAAGTTTCAAACATTATAGTTCGTGTCTCCTGCTTAATTGTACATCATATGTAACTGGTACAAGATGAAGAGTTAAAAGTCGATATCTATCAATTATGATGTGAGTTTGTCATGAGAATTTAATTACATATTAACTTACGTTTAAGAATGACATCTGATTGATCAATGTACTCAGTTGGTGTATAATTCGCTATTATATCGTCTGGTTTAGTAAGATGATTACTATGAATAAGTTTTGGTTGTTTAACAATTGTTGTATAATTACGCTTTTTCAATTCTGCATAAGTTAACCAACTTACAGGACATCGTTGTACATCACTTCCTTCACTTAATTGAATATTCCATTCACATGGAATCTCATATAGAAAGCATTTGAAGTCGAATAACTTCAGGTTTAAAATATCCTAAAATGGATGAAGAAACGAATAAATAAGTGACGATGTTTGAAGTAAGCTGATGTTAGTACATTTGTACTGTTAGATCTATCGAAGCTCCCAAGTCACCCGATTGAGATACGCGCGAAACCGGAGTTCCCGAAACAACGATTTGTCTACAATAGCGGTTCTTTATTGAATAATACACAAAATTTAGTTACCACACATTGTAATATAGAACTGGATTTGATCAGTATCTTGTTGAAGGCACCATTTACTTGACAAGTGTGAAATAGTATAAAATGCGCGTCCTCGTTTCAACTGCTAGCCACTATCCACTATCCTTGCTTAAAAAGCTTGTTGAAGATTATGTTTAGAGAATATACATTTAGTAAAACAAATGTTCTGTTTTGTGAACAAAGTAATAAGCTGAGTGTGGTGAAGAATGTAGCTTTCTATAAATCTGTTCAATATTACATGATAAGCCATAACTGTATTAACACAGCTGAAAGGTATTTTATTCGCATGAATACTGATGTACCCGAGAGTTAGTAAATGAAAGAGGATTTTGACTCCAGTTTACGTATCAGTCTACACATCAGTGGTGTTACTGTTCGCCTCCAATATCCTTATAAATTAGACAAACATCTTTTGCCTATATTAGTTTTAGGTAACTAAGATTTACAATTTAAGAACATCGAATTATTTTCGATTAGTTTGTTAAATGACAGGTTATTAGATTCCATCATCTAGCAAATAACGAGCTGATATCACACTAATCGGATAACTGGAACACTCATTTCTGGGTGAAGTAGGCACTGGAGTTGTCATCTAGAACAACAACACTGGAAGCTTCTTAATTAGGCTGTCGAACGTAGAAAACGCAACTCCTTTACCTTCACCTTTAATAACTCTGTTCCTTGACTCAATACTCAATACTATAAACTGTCACATGTAAAACAAACTGTATATACGGCTTGACAGCTTAGATTAATAACATTGGAGAGGCACATATCTTTACACTGAAAATCATATGATTCATATAAAAAATTTTGAAAAGATTCCATAGGACATTCCATAGAATAAAATGTACCAAACCAGTGTCACGGTTGAGTAAATACAATTAATGAAATATTCCACAAACACAATTCATAGTCACGTTCTTCTGAATCTTCCTAAATAAAGCTCAAATATGCATTAATAAGTTTACTGAAGTCATACAGTAGTAATAGTTGTGTAGACGTTTATATGATAGGCATATACAGGGGTAACTAGTAGAGAACAATCGTTTTGCTTTCATATAATGAACATTTTGCACTTCGCTTGTGCATAAACTAATTGCAAATAATTTGAACGGAGAGTCCTCAAACTAATGTATTGTTACGGATGTTTCAGTTTGTAATGTTTAATCATTGAATAGTTGATTAAATGTAGACCACGTTGGAGAAACTGGAATCTCTGGATAGCCATTTTGTACAAGCATGGAATTTCTCAACATTTCATCCGCGATGCTTCACAAGGAACTTGAATCCAAAACCTTCGGTTTCATATGGGCGAACTCTTAACCTCTAGACCAATGAGGCGGTCTCATTATCAATATAACCGAATGGATAACAAAACTCTATATCAATTTATCACTTTTATATGATGCATTGAACTTACCGAGGGACTATTTTTCACTAATGGATCATCTATCCATTGAGTAGTAGTGTTAGGACTAATTACATAGAATATACTCCATGTGATTAACATAATGATGAATAATGATAAAAATAAATTGAGAATGTTCATTTTGTTTAAAACAATCTGAAAACATAATTTGAGGAAAGAAAAATTGAAATGTGTTACGTAACAAGTACTGATATGGTTGTCAATTTAATATATGGATCCATTCATTATGTTTAAATATCTATATACCAACATATGTGTTTACCTATGATAGACGTTTCAAGTGTAACATGTTAACCTATGGTATTTCAAGTAATATATAAATAAGGATTTGTGTGGTTGGTTAGAAATCACAGTGAAAGATTACTGAACATTACTGAACGTAAACTCATAGATTGAAATTTACAATCATTTCGACGTGTCGTCTGGCAAAATTGTCTGGACTTCCTCAGGAAAATAATCAAAATCATCAGAGAAAAATATAGTGTATAGTAATCATATATCAAAGAAAATCTATTCTGTGCTAATTCAATCATATTTGGATATTGACCTTACTTACTTACTTATTTACTTACGCCTGTTAACCACAATGGACCATAGGACGACTAGAACACCCACTGTGCTGGGCACTCATTTCTTCTTCTTCTTCTTCTTCTTCTTCTTCTTCTTCTTCTCCTTCTTCTCCTTCTATCCATTCGCTCTTCATTCTTCTCATGAATGTCGTTTCTATTTCTCGGCGTAATGTCTTCATTGGTCATCCTCTTCTCCTTTATACTTGAGGATTACAAGTGAGAGCTTGCCTTATGATGCAGTTGGGTTGGTTGCTTTACTCAATCTGTGTCCTATCCACTCCCAGTGCTTCTTCCTAATTTCTTCCTCCTCCACCTCCTCCTACTCCTCGTCCGCTGCCATTTCGTTTGTTCTCTCCCACAGTAGGTTGTTTCTGATAGAATATTGACCTTAGTAAATAGAATAACATGAGTCAGTTAATAAAAGCGAATTTTGTGAAAAGGTCACAAAGTGAAAATAATGACTGAACAAATTGTGTGACTATGTGTGTGTTTGAGTATCGGTATATGTGTGTGTGTGCAAGATTGAGTTATGAATGATTGAAGGGTTTAGGTGTAAAATTTGTTGTTCTATCGAAAAAAGAATAAACAAAATAAAAGTGAAAGTTGAAGGTTGAAATGTGTATTCCATTTGATTATGAACATAGAATGGACTTATCATGATAAATATGGACTGATGACAATAGTGCCTAATGATGAATTTCTTGAATATAATTGTTCACTTGAATATTCTTCTTCATATTTTAAATATTAGAATGAATACAATACAATAGTGAATTAGTTTATTTGTGTATTAGAGCAATAATTTGGAATCTGGTCAATATGACAATCATAAATTTCAATAGTAACGAACAGTCAATTCTATTTTCATAATCCATCGATTGTACTTTACAGAACAGTGTGACCCCAAACGTATCATGCATGAACTTGTATACTGTTGAAGTTAATTCTCATAAAGAAGAAACAAAAATAGAGTGACTTTGAATGACTGACTTGTATGAATTCTACTTCCATTTTGTCCAAAGTTTCTACTTTATGATTAGTCGTGTTCATTACTGTTTTATAATAAATTTTGTCTGTTCTTAGAATAACGTTGTCTTAAATGTAAAATGAATAGGAAGTGATGAAGTATGGATTGTATGGGAGAGTGTTATAAGTGTTTGTTGAAATCTGTAACTGGATATAGATGTGTAGGGCCAGTGAAATATCACTGAGCCCTAGTCAAATCATCCGGCAGTTGGATCACTGATCATCGCTCCCTGTCAAGTTCAGGGACAACCAACACGCATCCGTTAATCATATGCCATGAACTGGCCCATGGGGCAGTGGTCTTACTTTCGCTTGTATCTACCTTAACTAATATATTTCTGTAATAACGTCCTGTGTGTTGTACAGTCTTCAAAGCATCTATGGTACCTTGATACGTCAATGGGGTAGTCCATGTAAGGTGCTGACCACGAGGTGTGAATTCGAAGTTAGCTGTTTCGTCACACCGTTCCCGTCTAACTCGAGTAGGTCTCCAATCATTTTCGACAAAGATTATCTACGTTGGTGATGTGCAACGTTGCTGGTTACACACGGTCGCTTCGGTTGCGTTTGGTGTATCCCAGGATACTTATCGAGTAGTGGTTGATAAAGTGGGTCTATCGTATGCTTAATTGTGACTGAGGATAATCTGCAACCAGAAAATGACGTTACGCAAACGGATAATTTAGTGTTTCCGTCTACTAGCCTCCGTTTGCACGTATCGATGATGAGATTATGGTGTTGTAGAAGGTCCATACAAATGATTGGCATAGAAACAACTGCAACAATGAAGATCCAGTGAATGGGTTTGCATAAACCCACGTTGAGGTAAACGTACCTTTTGCCACATGTAGCAATAGGTTTACCGTTTGCTGCATGTAAGTTTAGAGCCGATTCGTGGCCGGACATAACTCCGTTATGTCATTCTGAGTCGTGTGAGGCTTTTCTTTGACTGAAAAAACCTCGCTAGTAGAAGATTTCGTAATTTCTAAGATACGATCGGCAGATGCAGCCAGCTCGTCTAAGGCTTTGTTCTGAAACGAGACCAGAACCGCTTGCACCTGTTGGAGAAGTTTAGACAAGAAATGTTGTTTGAATAGACCTTCGTCGAAAGTTCTTAGGCCTATCACTTCTCTCATTCTTTGCAACATGCCCGTCACAGAACCGTGCTGCAGGTCTATGTTATTAGAGAGTTGATCTAAACTTTGTCGAACGGTTAGGTCTGCTTGTTTAAGAAACGAACGTTTTAAGGTTTCGTAAGGTTCAGAAACATCACTAGTAAACATACTAGGTGTTACGTACCTGTTGAATTTTCGCGGTAGTGCCGTGATTACTGCGAGGAATTGTGCACGTGTGTCGTTCACGCCATGCTCGTGGAAGTCGGCTTCTGCGTAACAGGACCAGGCTTCGATATTGTCGGGCCAGAAGGGCATGAGTTGGAACGAGGGTGGGAACATGGTCTTAATTTTAAATACTTTAGGAGTCTGTTCGGTCATAGGGGAATATTAAATACGAGAATACGAGGGAAAAATATATAGATATCCTTAAACACAGGGGGGAAAATATCACAATGTATAAAGAAAATAAAAAAATAAGGCAATAATATACAAAAATCCCCTAAAGGAACAGACTGACAGTTGCAATTGGGTGTACCAGATCACGTCGGTCTCACCAATGTATTTGACTCCACTGGTAAAATATAGATCTTAATTCTCTTCTTATATATCCTTTCCTCCGCTTGAATATGGTTTATACTCTAGCATTGTAGGTTGTTACTGGCCAACAGATCCGAAGTATTTTACATAGACAATTGTCAATGAATATTTGTATCTTCTAGATGACGGTTTTCCTAATTCTCCAAGTTTTCGCCACATACAATAGAACTGTCTTGACATTTTTATTGAGAATTCTGACCTGGGTGTCGGTTAACAATTGTTTTGAGTTCCAGATGTTTGTCAATTTTATATATGCTTCTCTTGCCTTGCTGATCAGCGCCTTCACATCATCATCAGATCCACCATGTTCGTCAATAATGCTTGACAAGTATGTAAAGGTTTCTGCATCTTCCAAAGCTTCTCCATCAAGTGTAATTCGATTGGTGCATGCTGTGTTGTGTGGAGAATCTTGCTTTTGCCTTTGTTTATGTTGAGACCTATTGCTGCTGAGGTTGCTGCTACACTGGTCTTCTTCTCTCGCACTTGTTATTGCGTGTGCGATAGGAGAGCCAGATCATCTGCGAAGTCCAGATCGTCCAACTGCATCCTAGCTGTCCACTGTATCCCGTGTATCCCTTCAGATGTTGACGTCTTCATGATCCAGTCGATCACTATGAGAAAGAGAAAGGGTGAGAGAAAGCAACCTTGCCTGACAGCGGTCTTCACATCGAACGGGTTTGTCAACTGTACTCCATGCACAATTTTGCAGTTTGATCCATCATAGCAATTCCGTATAATGTTGGCTATGTTCTCAGGCACGCCGTAGTGTCGAAGAAGCTTTCATAGTGTTGTTCTGACCACGCTATCAAATGCTTTCTCTTAATCAAATAATCTGATGTTGAATGATGAATTCCATTCAATTGATTGTTCCATAATGATCCGTAGGGTCGCGATTTGGTCTGTACACGATCTATCCTTACGGAATCCAGCTTGTTAGTCTCGAATTTTGGCGTCTATGGAGTCCTTCATTCTGTTTAACAATACTATGTTGAAGACTTTTCCTGGTAATGAGAGAAGAGTGATGCCTCTGTAGTTGTCACACTTGCTGAGATCGACTTTCTTTGATATCTTGATCAGGTGTGCTTCTTTCAAATCCGTTGGTACTTGTTTTTCTTCTTATTGAAGAGAATGTGGAGTATCCTTGCACTTGCCGCTACGTCTGCTTTCAGTGTCTCTGCCGGATTATTGTCTGGTCCTGCTGCCTTGCCGCTATTGATTCGCCTGATGGCCATGCTGATCTCTTCAATTGTTGGTGGGCCAACATCGATTGGGAGGTCGGTTGTATACGCGTGACCGTGTGAGAGCATTTGGAGTAGGATAGAGGACTCTCCGTACTGTCGGCCGTACCAGGGCATTCGTGGGCATATATATTCATTTTATGAGATGGTGTAGACTTGTATCTCAGGTGGATGGTTTTGACAGAGTTTTGCTCTCTGACTTCATGTAGTTTGTGCTGATGATGATGTCGCTCAGAAGAATGATGAAAGCTTCACGACCAAACCATCCACCTCAGAGAACAAAACTTCATTAAAACATTTATTTTATAAATATCTTACATTAGATTGATATGCAGAAATAAATCACCATAATACGATGAAAAAAGCCATTTGGGATTATGAATAATCGAATTTACCGGCACAATTTAAAAAAGAATACAATATTCAATCAAACTTATCAATAATCGAAATTCTCTATCATATAAGTGTACTACTGTATGCCCATTACTCTCAATATTACATATCATAAATGATGGACAATTTGTTCTATTAAGAGTACACATGACTTGAGTAAAAGTCAGTATTGTGTTGAAATG